AGTTAAATATTTAGTTTATAAACTATGACATTTATAAATGTATGAATCATATGGTGAAAAACTGACTTTGAAAAATAAATCTGTTCTTTTTTTTTAATAAAAGTCTAAATAAAACAAAAATATTGGTGGTAATTTTTGACTGTGTAACTTTACAAACAGCACCCATACATGATGCAGAAAAACTGGTTTTAGCAACATTAGAACTGTCTGCCTGTTGGTTTAATGGTCCCTGCTGGTCTCTACTGGTCCCTGCTGGTCTCTGTCGGTCCCTGCTGGTCTCTGCTGGTCCAGATGGGCTTCCTGAACCCTCTGCTGCGACGGACAGCCTCAGCTAAGAGCTCCCTGAGACGAGCTCCTTCAGCACTCTTCATCGAACATGGAAAAGTTTTCCAGAGGAAGAAGGTGAGAATCCTCCTGGTCCAGGTCCAGGTCCTGGTTCTGGTCTCAGTTTTATATTTGACAGTTCAGATAATTGAAAACATTTTAAAATGTTGGATGTTTTCATTGTTTGTCCAGGAGTGGGAGGCCAAAGCTGCTGCTTGAACTTGTTAGAACCTACCTGAACGATGATGATCCTGTCCTGAAGAGGCAGCGCTCTGATTGGTTGTTTGGACTCAGGTAGACCCAAAACAAATCCAGCAGCTGTTTCAATGAACCAGATAAAATAACTAATAAAGATTAACAAATTCCTGACAAGTCAACTTTATCTCTGAATTTAACTCTTTGTTTTAGTCTCTAAAATTAAAAAAAAAATTGATGAATTTTGTTCGTCTGAACACCAGGCAGAGAAAAATATAAACTAAAAAGTCAGAAAACTGACCTTAAAATATTTATGTATAATTTGTAAAATAATATTTTTTAATTGGAGATATAAAAAAAGTAAAACCTGATGAGGTAAAATGTTTTTGATCAAATAAGATCTGTTATTTTCACAACTAAATATTTAAATTTGTGGCTGCAGTGACTCCTGATGTCCAGAGGAGGCGCCAGAGTTCAGATAAAATACTTAATTACTGAAAACAGGAAGTTTTTATATTTGAAGTTATTTTATTAGACGAAGCCGCTGCTCATCAGAGGTCAGAAAAGTTCCAGGAAGTTTGTTTTCTTCATGGTCACTTTGATGTTTTTGATACTGTTTTCACCTCAGACTGACCCACACTATGTATAACTGATGAT